GAGGCAGAGACTGGATGAGGGAGGGAGGATGAGGGAGGCGGAGACTGGACGAGGGAGGGAGGATGAGGGAGGCGGAGACTGGACGAGGGAGGCAGAGACTGGATGAGGGAGGCAGAGACTGGATGGGGAAGGCAGGATGAGGGAGGGAGAGACTGGATGAGGGAGGCAGAGACGGGATGAGGGAGGGAGGATGAGGGAGGCAGAGACTGGACGAGGGAGGCAGAGACTGGATGAGGGAGGCAGAGACTGGATGAGGCAGGCAGGATGAGGGAGGCAGAGACTGGATGAGGGAGGGAGGATGAGGGAGGCAGAGACTGGATGAGGGAGGCAGAGACTGGATGAGGGAGGCAGAGACTGGATGAGGGAGGCAGGATGAGGGAGGCAGAGACTGGATGAGGGAGGGAGGATGAGGGAGGCAGAGACTGGATGAGGGAGGCAGAGACTGGATGAGGGAGGCAGAGACTGGATGAGGCAGGCAGGATGAGGGAGGCAGAGACTGGATGAGGGAGGGAGGATGAGGGAGGCAGAGACTGGATGAGGGAGGCAGAGACTGGATGAGGGAGGCAGAGACTGGATGAGGGTGGCAGAGACTCCACCATGTAGCTCATCTCCAGACACATCTGGACCCTCAGTTGAAACTTCCCTGGATCATGATGGGGAACCGGAACGTCACCAACTTTCAATGGATTGATCCCTGGATTGAGGAGCATCTTTGCTCAACGTTTTGTTAAGATCTGTCCAAAACTTATCAAGTTATCCTGACAGACAGACGGATACTTTCTAAAGTCTGTCCATTCAGAGCTCTGCTGGAATCTATAACCGTTCTTCTCCTTTACAAACTTCTATCATTTCATTGGGAGCAGAAGAGAAATGGGCTGATTGCACATTGAGCATCCAGACCAGGAGGAGGTGGATATTGATCTTCCTCCACTATAGTTCTGTCTGAGATATGAAAAGTTGCTGAGGGCAGCACTGCAGCTACACATTACAGGCATGAACAATAGAAAGGAATTTACAGGAAGTCCAATGAAGTCCTGGACGATCGATGCAGCTGCATCTGAGAACACTTTGATTTTGTTATCGGTTGATGTTCAGGATGAGGTCTGAGGAACGATCCAGTCCGGGTAGACCAAGTCCTCCGAGGACCCTGTCCAGGTAGACCGGGTCCTTGGAGGACCCAGTCCAGGTAGACCGGGTCCTTGGTGGATCCAGTCCGGGTAGACCAAGTCCTCCGAGGACCCAGTCCAGGTAGACCGGGTCCTCAGATGAAACACAGGATGTCGCAGTTTTACTTAAAGTTTTCAGATTCTCAATCATGAAGAAAAAGACAAACTGCTTAAATTCAGAAGTTTCTCCCTCTGTTGTTCCTTAACAACTGTAAGACATTGGAATCAGGATTCTGCTGTAATAGAAATATAGAGTTGGGAAATAAATGGCCTGGATAATAATCTTTACAGAACATGGGAAGATGTCAGGAACATCAGCAGACGATTTATAAGGATAAACTTCAACAACATCAACAAAAGTTCAGCTTAACAGAGACATTGAACTTAGAGAGCAGAGCTTTTATAGCAGGCTATAAACTATGACAGCTGTGAAGCCATCTCCCCACCAGACGGGGGCAGTAATGCACACCTTTAGGTTTTTACCAGCCTTAATAACCAGAGGATGAGGAAGATGAGAAACAGAGAAGAACAATTACAAACATAAAACTCCTCTTTTGGTTCAAAATATGAACTTTAGATTTCCAGGTGGAAAAAAATGAGACTTTGTGGGACCCCCGGGGGCCGTGGCCCCCCAACCGTTCCAGTCTAGCTCTGCTCCTGTCCAACAGCACATAGTTCTACTTCCTTCCTCTCATTAAGGCTAACGGTCTGCCTGCTGGTGTAATGCTACACAGACGGATCGACTAACATGCTAGCATGGAACCAACACCTGGTGACAGGTAAACTGCTGGCATGCCAGGACGGTTTCCATGACGACCACCAACCCGGCTTTTCCTTTTTTCTCATTCAAACCACAGACAGGCTTAAATGTGAAGGCGTCTGGACTTATTGAATGTTGAACAGTAGCATGTGTAATGACTGTCCTCGTCTGCTGCCCCCTCAGACATGCGGAAACCACGTAGATCTAGTTCAGCTAGAAAATAAGATTCTCTAAAAGGAAAATATTGAAGAAAACTCTCAACCAAGCGGGGAGGCTGAGCAAAGGGTCCAGAGGGGTAAATGTAGACCTTCATTAGTAGAAATGAAGGCAGGCCCCTTCACAGTCTGCCTGTTTTAGCTCTATGCTGGGTGCTTACTGCTTATTTCCATTCAAACGGGATGGAAAGCCGTTTTTTCTTCTCTGCTGCAAATAGAAGCATGTTGGCTGTGATACGCGGACATCTGTTTGTCCTTGTATGTCTGAAAGCCTGAAGCGTGTTGCGTGTCCAAAGCGTGAGTGGCTTCCATTCATACGCTTGTATGAGGCTAATGACCCCGTCTCTGAGGTCGGCTCC